AGAGCGGGACTAGGACTTTCTGGGCGAGGTGGTGCATGAAGGTTTGCAAATGGATCATCTCCAAAGGGATCTTTTGTCGTCTACAAAAAAAAAAAATTAATAAAGAAATGAAATAAAAGTTACATTTTTTATCAAATTTGTTTTTTTAACAACTTACCGCTGTTGTAGTAGTAGTTTTAGTATCGGTTCTTTTTCCATCTCCAAATGGATCAAATGGATCTTGTTTTATAATATTGTTATCATCAAATACACTAAATGGGTCAGATGTAAAACCTCCCTGTAATCACACATACATATATATATCATACAATTAAGTATTACATAAATAACATGGTTGATTATTTAAACTGATAAATCTTACAGTAGTACTTGGGGATGAAAATGCACTTCCAAATGGATCTGGTGTTGAAGCATTAAATGCTTCTGCAAAAGGATCTTGTTCAAATCCATCTAATGTTGTTCCATTTGCATTAGAGAATGAAACATTTTTCTTGTTTTGAATCTTATCATCCTCATTTGTCTTTTCATATCTATAGATTTTTACATACGAATAATAAAATATTACTATAGTTTATACAATTTAAAAGTTTATATAGTAGATACATACTCTAAGTTTTCAATTTCAGGATTATACTGCAGACTAGTATCAGGTACAAGAGTGGCATCTCCTGCTGCAAGTGCAGAATCATATAAAGCAATTGCATCAGTCATTTGTCGTTGTTGTTCCTGTAAGTGAGTGATCTTTGCTTTTGCTTGACAAATTTGTAACTGAGTATCTTGTAAATTTTTAGTAAGTTCATTTAATTGGTCCCTGCTTTTATTTTGTTGTTGTTCTAATTGCTGCTCTTCTTGTCGCAAACCCTCCAATTCTTGTCGTTTAAAATTTAATTCTTCTTCTTGAGTACGTAATACCGATTCTTGCTCTTCTGCTTGTTGACGTAACTTATCAACCTATTATTAATAATAAAAAGATATGATGTGTAGCAGTTCATTTGTTACAACTTATATTTAAGCTTAAGTTAAGTATATTTGTATCTTTTTATTTGTTTGTTTGTATGTGTGTACGCGCACTCGTGTTAAACTTATGACTATTTGTAACTATATGCATAACTTAGAAAAATTTTATTTCACTAATAAATATATTAATTACATATTTCTATATCACTTTTTATAGAAAATACAAAGAGAATGTTATATTTAATCATAATAGTTTAAAACTCAAAATTAGTTTACATGATTTTGCTTTTATTAACCTTAAGTAAAATTAAATTTGACACATAAATTTAGATTAATGAGTAAAATATAAAATACTTTCTCAAAATTATAAAGTAATTTTAAAAGTTTTACTAGTCTTAAGCCTTACATAGAAAGCTCTAAGCAAATATAATTTTTATGGCAATCTAGACTACAATAGTTTACCATGCAATGCAACAAAGCTTTAGCATTAATTATGCAAATATAATAGAAACAAATAAAGCTTTTTCTAAAATAATATGTGGCATATATTAAAAAAATGTTTCAGACAAAATTCCAGATTATTAAAGGGAATAAAAATCGTGCTGGTATTTAGTTCATCTTGAAAAGTCTGGTGAACATCATGATTACATTTTTTAATACAAATCTATATATTTTATTAAATATTCTTAGAGTTAGCGCTGAAACGTTTTCAATACACTATTTACTTGCATCTCTTCTTTCAGTTCTTTTTAACAAATAAAGCTTTAAGTTTGAAATACTACCAGCATTAACCAATTCCCATTTAAAAATTTAATTATGACCTTCACAGAACATGTCACAGTTATGCCACTTTTGATATCATATGCCTGAAACATTTTTCTCTATATTACATATTTTTTGAGTTACTTAACTAATTCTATTTAAACCTGACACCATGTATGTGTATGTGTGTTTGCGCGTGCGCGTGTGTTTTCATTATATATATATCACACATACAATGTATTATTAACTTAAATATTTATATTTGATACACATGCTTATCTACATATAATTTGTATATTATTTTTTTGTATATAATCACAAAGTGAAATTATGAAATGATTTTATCTTAAACTTTCTTAAGCTCATTGTTATTATTATAAAAAACTATCATAATTTTATCGTATCTTAACTAATATAAGATACTATAAATATTGAAGAGTTGTAATTGATATTTCATGTAAGTGAGAAATAAAATTTATGTATCAGAACTGTACCTGCCCTTTATTAAAAGTAGATAATTTTTTATATACCTTTTTTTGTTCCTCGCGAATCTTCTGCTCGATCTCACTCAAATCTTTATCTACTTCTGCCTTCTACAAGCCAAACATAATAAAACTAAATCATAATGAAGGATCTAAACAAATCATAAAATAAAATAAATAAATCCAACAAATAAATATTTACTTATTATAAAATACAAATTATAATTACATAAAAAATTCTAAATTGATAAATAAATATGTATAAAAAATAATTATTACATAATATAAAGTACAATACATAAAAATAATTTTAAATATTGTTTGTCAAATATAATGACTATATGATGAAATATCACAGTTACTATAACAATACCAAATATAAGAAAGAACTGTAACATTTCTTTGTATTTCATTTGAATTATTCAATTATCGATTATATACTTTATACAATACTTATTAAAAAATAATTTGTAATAACAAACTATGTAGTATTAAATTATATTATTAAACCTCAACTTTAAATAATAAGTTTTAAAAATTGTAATACATTTAATTATTTACACATCTTAATAAAAGCATTATGTACATTTCACAAATACACATTTCTAATTTTATATGGAAGCAAAGCTGAACATTCAACAAGCAAATCACCTATGTATACTAAATTAAAATTTTATTTACCTGAGCTTTTAAATCATTCAATCGTTTCTGTGCTTCACCTTTCTGATTCTCCAATTGTTTTAATGTAGCAGCAAGTGTATCTAGTTCACTTTGTAGACTTTTAATTTCACCATTCTTTATCTTAATATCAGCTTCTTTTTGCGCTATGTCTTGTTCCATATTTTGTCGCTCTCTAACAAGTTCTGCTATGTCATTACTTATCATGTCCAATTCTGGATTTGAATAACCAGATACATTATTGTTTTCCTGAAAATCAAAATACACTTTATTACAAAGAAAGAAGGAATAAAACAATGATTCATATGCATAACAACAGTAAAAATATGAATGATAAAAATACAAAAATGTTTGTTAAATCAATTAAATTAGTTTAAAATATTATCTGTAATTTGAAAATATGTATAATATTTGCATTTATATAACCATATTCTATATGATGTATATAAAGAAATTTTAATATTTTAAATAATTCTAAATGATTCTTCTATATGATTTATTTAACATACTTTTTATTGATTCTTTATAACAAATGAAATATTACACGAATTATCTAAAATTACCAAATCAGTAAGTTTCTCTAACACATTTTTCTATTAAAATGTAAAATAATAAAACATTTTTCTGGATATTATTCATTAAGAAAACCATTTTAAAAATTTTGTAATATACAGTATATATTTAACTAATATCAAATTAGTTTATGGGAATAAAGGTACTGTCCTTCAAAGTGTTCATTATGAATTCTTCCATATATTCGCGACGAGTTTTTAGCTTGATTTTTTCGGGATCATCTGTACCATATAGAGATTTTAACTTTGCTTTTTTTGCTTCTATTTGTAACTGTTTCGCAAATATAAAGTTAATTGCCTTTTTTCTTTTTAGAGTAATTATAGGTGATTCATAATTTATTAAGAGAGGCACTATTTTTATACAGTTTGCTATATCCAAATTATCTTCTCTTTTATACAATGAAGTCATATTTAAATTATGTTTGCAATCTTCTGATATAATACTTTCTGTCTACAAACTATAAGAGCAAATTTTAAATAAATAAAAAATTGAAAATCGTATGTTACAACTTCACACAATATGTCACAAAAAAAAATATTGCAATGCGGCTAAGATTAGTCTTATTCTTTTATTATTTCCTGAATGTAATTTTTAGTTTTACAATAGGAATAAATTTATGGAAGAAATATAATGAATTTCGAAAAAAAATAAATCAAACATTGAATAAGCAACAAGGTAATAATTTTTATTTTTAAAATATCTTTTTCTTTGTTTAATTTCTGTATTATATTTACAATTGATCCTGTAGATCCAATCAGTAAATTTAGTTAATTTTATTTAATGAACTTTTATTTATACAAAGGGAGTGAACTTCTTCTTGACATTAATGAATTTGAATATCCAAAAACAAACAAAATACTTAGAAAAATATACAAAGAGTTATGGCAAGAATATTATAAATGTTTAACAGAAACATATAACGAAACGAGATTGGAAAAAATAATGTATCCAATAGCTTTGGAAGCCTTAAGAGGAACACTAATCACGTATGACAGAAAAGATATTTTTATTATTTATTTTATAATAGTAAAATGATTAAAATACGAATTCCAGATTAAAATGTCAAATATGTATTTCTCCAATAGAAATGTATACTATTAATGATATAGAATGGTATTTCAGTAACACTGTTAATAATGAAACAAACAAACTTATAGATGTCTCAGACAATATGTTCATATCATCAGAGGATAGAACATTAATGATGTATAACATTAAGGTATAATTTACTAATTAAGATTTTTTTTTTATCATAGTAATATATAAATCTTTATAGTCTGAACAAGCTGGTCAATACTGGTGTAAATTTGGAGATACATTATCAATACATTATTATATTTCCATTGATTCTAATCTTGAAGGAGTAAAAACTGTACATCCTGCAATAGTGCCCAATATGCCTCATGCAATGCCACAAAAGATTATATCAGAATATAATTTAAATATTTATACAATATGGACCAAATGGTCTTCATGTTCTAAATGTAATGTAGTTGGTAAAAAAGTACGATATGGATACTGTGTACTCTCATCACATAACAACTTAATTAAAAAAAATGTAATACAAAAAAGACAATTAGAAGATCATAAACAACAAAGTATACCTTTACCTATATTGTCTATTACTATATTAAAATTCAAAATATTATTAACGTGCAACATTTAGTTACAGAAAATAAACAAAATAGAACAATAGAAACTACAATTCAAAATCACGCTATCGATGAAAGCGTAAGTGATAAAATTAAAATAATTTTACATGTATTTAGAAATAAAATACCTTGTAAAAGTAAATATTTACCAAAAGAAATTTTGAGTATTCCTGTTATTAAAAATAGAACAACAGAAATTATGGTACGCTATTGCAAGGTACTACTAAATATAATATAAATATAAATATTTCATGTGATATTTAATATTTAATATTTAATGTAAAAAATTAAATTTAAATAATTTTTTTATAGGTAAAATGTTCAAAAAATATAATATTTGAAGTACGTGATAAGAAAGAAAATCTAATTGAAAGTGCAAATAACAGTGCTGGTGTATATTCCATGGTTCAAGGAATGCCTGTTCCATTACCAACAGTTATACGTGTTACAATGTATCAAAGATATAATAAAAAAGCTATACTTATGTGCCCCGGGTAAAATAATATATTAAAAGTAAAGGAAGTATGTTTGCATTTCTTCAAATTTTTCAGAAACTTAAATACAAATACACCAATTAATTGGAAAATGGATAATAAGGACATAAATCCATCTATCATTAAAAACCAATCTCAAGGAAGAATTTATATTAATTCACAAATGTATATAATTTTCAAATCATTGAAATTTGAAGATAAAAATATCTATAGGTAAACAGTTACCTAATTATTTAAAATTGTATTAAGTAATTTTGTTTTTAATATATTTTAATATTAATATTATAATTTAATGCTAAGATTTTAATTACTTGGTTCACAGTTGTTGGCAAAGAAATGAGATTGTTGGGGTAATAAAATTAAATATAACTGGGGAAATAGAACTACAAACAAATTATACTGTAATTATGATTAGTGGAATCTTAATAATTATTGTATTCATTATTGTATTTTGGAAAACATTTCAAAATCGTAAAAATTTTATAATAAAGTAACTGGATTGTATATTGCATATTTAAAATAAAACAATATATGATGTTTCAAATAAAAATTCTTTTAATATAATAAAATATTTACCACAACAGCCTCAGTTGGTTTTCGCATAGAAGGTGGTACCATATCAGGACTCAAAGTTGCAGGTGGCTCAACACCCCTAAGCTTTTGCTTAACAAACCACATGGCTAAAGCAAATTGCTCCTTATTTAACTTTCCACTTTGACATATATCACAAAGACTCCTGGAAAATAAAAAAGTATAGATAAGTAAAAAGTTTTCTCTATTTTTTACTTATAATTAGTAAACAATAATTAAAATATATATGTACCATATACGAGCTAACACAGACTGTGGAAGTCCATGTTGAAGGAAGACATCTTTGATTTCAATACCTGAGACATATCCATCCATATCTAGATCAGCTTGCAAAAACAGTTTGTCTGCTGCTATTTGATCTTCAGATGAAACTACCCACTGTACATTCGTCTATATCATATATTTTTGCATTAAATTTGAAATTGTTATTTTACAATTTTATTATAATTGAAATACCTTTGCTGTATCTAAACCAGCCATACTCTGCACTGAAGGTACATTAGGTAAAGGTGGAATAGGTGGTGGAACTGTTGTTATTACACCCAATGGTACTGGAGATTTTGAAACTGGTGCTATAGAATCTTTCCTTTTTCCTGGTGGCATCAACTCGGGTGGAAGTACACTTGGAATAGCATATTTTTCTAAAGCTTTACATACTAGATGTACTGCCTATATTAAATAAATAACACACTGAATTATATCAATAAATTAATTTATTCTAATTATTAATGTAGATGTTATATAGTTAATTACTTACAATAACAAATTCATGTCTATCCAGCATACCATCTTTGTCCATATCTGCAAGATCCCAAATCTTTACAAGTGTATCCAAAGGAAGCTTACTATCCATAAGAACATTTTTTACTTTATTTCCAGGTATATATCCATTTGAAGGTTGTAAACTATCAAAAAGTTGATCATATTTAGCTCTTTCTGAAGGTTTAATAGACCAATCTCCATTACTAACAGATGTTATTACTGGTAAAGCATTTACTACATTTTTTTGAGTTATTACAGGAATCTCACCCTAGAATAAATAACAGCAATAAATAAAATAATCATACGTTAAATAATGTAATAGCTTACCATTTTTGGAGGTGGCAATTCTATATTTAAATTTGACATACTAGGATCTCTTCCTGCTTGAGCCAATGCACAAAGTTTAAGAGCAACAAAGAGACCAGATTTATCTAATGATCCACGTGATTGTGGATCTGCCATGTCCCATATCTTACTTAGTGTATCATCACTCAGCTGAGATTTCTTAAGAAATCTAGCAGCTTCCATCGCTCCAATTCGTCCACATCCATTTGGATCCACCTTCACATATAATTTAATTTGTTATTTTTATAACATATTATGAAAATTAACTTGAAACTATTTGGATTTAGAGACATATATCGAGGTACATAAATGTATACCTGATTATAATAAGCTTCATTGCCGGAAATGTATGATATATTATAACTGTAGTGTATGAATAAAAATTTTGAGTTAATATATTTTTTGATGTACTAATTACAACAATTCAAATTAAAAAGTTTATCAAAAGATCGTTAAAAAAAGTATGTATTTATTGTGAATTTATCGAAGAATTATTTGTACTGTCAAAGAAGTTTAAGTAATCGACAGTACAAGTATGGCTGTATTAAACATGTGCATGGTGAAAAATGATATTATTCTTGTGCGAAAAGAAAATAAATTTGAAAAAATAATCTGATTAATAATATATCTAACATATCAAATATTATAAGCTGATAAAATTATAAAAATTATAATATACCTGCGTGGGTGATGGCAGGGCGGCCATACTTGCATTGAACACTGGTTTAACCAATCAGGCTATGAATCGATAGTATGTCATATTAACTATTTTGCTTGACATTTTGTGGAAGAATTTTTATTGTCAAATACACTAACAGAACACAAAACGGTGGTTATATTTTTTTTTTGTCAAACTACCTAGACAAACTAAATAAATGAAATTTATCAACAATACGAATCACTTCTACCGATTGTAGCGCTCGATTGCAGTCTTATACCCTCATATTCCACCTTCTTTTCATTAAACGATAACCATGTAAACTAGACTTCATGCGCATAGGTCAAACTCGTAATTCAAATTGAAAATCTATATTATAAACTTTCTATTTTTAAATAAATATATATGCAAAAGTATTTTTATACATTTAAAAGTTTTGTTATCTTAGAAAATAACAAAGAATTATGATAAAAAATCTTATATATATATATATAAGATATACATTTATATATGTACATATATAATTACTTACTAATTATTAATTATAAAGAAATTAACAAAATATACAACATCAAATAAAAAAGAACAATTTTATGAAATTTTAATTTGTTTATTTAAAAAATTACATATTATTTAAGAATAATTATGGTACAGTTGAAAGTCGTGGAAAAGGGTTTTGCTTAGAAATAACTAACTTTTTATGTTGATGAGATATGTAACCTTTAATTTTTCCTTCATATATTAAATTTGCAACAATGCATTCTACTTCATCCATATCTACATCATCAATTCCATGCATTTCTAGAGCTGAAAGTAAATCTTGAATAGGAATTTGATGTATATTTAATACTAAGTACACTTTTTTAAATAAATTTCTATATGCTATTATTTTCAATTTCTCCACAATTAAATATATTCCTGCTCCAATAAAAAATAATTCATGTTTTTCCATCACTTTTTCAAGATTGCGTAGATCTCCTTTCTTAACAGCTTCCATCAATTCCCCAAATTCCATTAAGTTATATTTTTGCAACAAGCTATGTTTAGGCATGTATCCTAATAACATTTTCACTGGCACAAGGTAAGTTAAAATTAATCGTTTGTTTTTAGAAGATTGTTTATGGCAATGTTCAAAGGCATAAGTAAGATATTCATCAGCTAGAAAATAGTATAATTAATTACAAAATATTTAAAATATGAAGATTATCATAATAAGTATGAAATTTTAAGTTACCAGCTTTATAATCACTATCAAACATTGCTTTACGACCCACAAAGAACTTATAAGTAATTTGTTGTGCTAATGCAAAATGTGCTTTATATGGTGATGATTCTATTGCTCTTATTAGAGGTCTACATAGATGTAATTTATTAATTCTAAAATAAATTTTTAACAATTGATTAACTAATGCCAACATTCCCCATCTTTTAGTATCATCTTCAGAACTACGATTGTCACAAGCACACACTCGAAAACAACCCATCAGACAATCTGCACATTTTTCTAAAATTTCTCCAGGTTTCATATTCTTATTGGTTTTTGTACTTTCAGCACAAACTGCTAATAATCTTAATTCTAGGCACATTACATTCATAACAGGTAACATCCAATTTTCTTCTTTTTGCATTTGAAGAATTTTTGTTAAAGATTGAACTGAAGAACTTTGGTAATTATACATAGACAATGGATCATCTTTGTTCATTGCTGCTATAGTTCTAAAAGCATAAAAACAATATTTGAATAAATAATATCTGAAATAATTGTAATAAAAATGTTATAATTTAATTAAATTACTTTAAATGATAAAGCACTAAATCATCAAGAGGGGCAGATAAATGTTCCATTGTTTTTGTTATTGCAGTTTCAGATCCAATTTGTGAAATTGAAACATGATTGTGTCGTAAAGATAGTAGATCCTTCAATAAAAAAATTTATATACAAATTAAACATTATATTTTCATGTAAATTATCACTTAGAAGTAGATCTATATTATTTACCGCTAAAGTATCACCATCCTGATTTAACCACATACGCCTCACCTAATATAAATATAACCTCAAAATCAAAGTTTTTCTTAATTAAAACATATTACATAATATTCAATTTTCTAACATATTACCTGCATTATATATGAATCCATTATAATATCGGTAATTGAATATCTAAATTTATTTTGAAAATCTCTTTATATTTAAAACTGATTACATCTCTTTGTGACACAAATTGATGATATACATCTGTTTAAATCTTTGAGTTACTAGATGTCTCTACTATTTATTACTATTTCCTCTCATTTTTACTAAGGTAATAAAAAAATATTTTATTACTAAAAAGTAAAAATATTATCAAAAATTATAATTTTATATAATTTATTACAATATTTGGAATTCATTATTATTAAATTTATTTAATGAAAATACTTAATTAACAAAACTAATAAATAGAAAAAGTAAACATATTTAACTGAATTTGCTTAATTAAACTTTATGTCTAAAAATTATTTTTTTTGCCATGACTAACATGACCATTGATCTAAAGGAAATAATTTAATAAATAGTTAATTCAAAAAATAATATAATGATTATGAAATGTGGGAAAATGTAAGTGAAAATGAGCTTTTAATTCATATTTGTTACGAATATCTAGAAAATTTATTACTATTTTGTTTATAAACCTGAGACTTCTAGTATAAATTGGCTAGCCCTATGGAGCCCGATAAAGTATAGAGGCGGTGCTGCCAAGTTAGGGAGGGGGGTCCGCGGTCACGTGACCGAGCTGCGTTTTGAGCGCACTAACCAGGTACGAGCAAATTCGTTGTTTTTTTCGTGGTTTTTCGCGCGCCACGGCCGAAAAAGCCGAGGCGTCGTGAATTTCGCTTGTTTCTGACTCCGGACGTGTCCTTCGAGTACGCAAACAACGCTTATAATAACTGTGAGTTACTTGCAAATACTTTGACTCGATCGTCTTACGGAGATCTATCGATGCTCCACCGCGGCGATGGTTGACAAGCCTTCCTCGCAAAACCAGAAATGGCGTCTACCGTGCACATGGTCTGCGGAAAATATTCTACATCAACGTCGTAGTACCGATTCAGGAATATAACAAATTCTACACGGCCAATTTCTTTATCATCCGTTTGAAGAATTTTCACAACTCCCTTAAGAACAACAACGCAACGGACAAGGTGTTTTTTGTGATGCGCCCGATAATCCTCCTTCGTCATATTCTCACCGCGCACGTCAAAATTTATCTTTTTTTTTTTTTTTTTTTTTT